ATACAGTATTGAATGGAAGTTCAAGAATTGCTTTTGCCAAACCTGGAGGTTCATCTGGTATGTTAGTAATTTCACATTTAAAAGGATCTACAACCCAATTCACAGTTTGCACATCAAGATCTGAAAAGTAGTCAGAGAACCGCTCTCTGAGTTTGGTAAGATGAAATTAGAACATTTTTTACCCCATTTTGGGTAATTTACCCCGGTTCCCCGACCGCTGAATTACACTGTCATTACTTCTATGATTGTTTTAAGAGTTTTTAGTTTAACTAATCGTTAAATTTGAATTTATTTTTGGATGTAAATATTATAATTTTTGCGTCTAGACTTGTTATTGAGGCAAGGTTAGTGTTGTAATTTAATAGCGCTAATTATAATATTTAAATTTAGCGTGCCGTGGCGCCAAATCCGATATCGAATAGACGTTCAAAACTGACGTTAAAATTGTCAAAAGTTGGATATGACTCAAGTTGAATGGACTCGTTTGATTCGGTTCGTGAGCATTTTCCAGGATTGTCTCAGAAGGCGAATGAAATCCTTTTTAATCTCTTTTGGTGAGGAGCGACGGTTCGTGCGGGGTGGAGTAGAGGGACGATGGAAGAAGGGGACTTGACTTAAACCATCCTCTCTCCGTTCGTCTCGCTTTGACTCGAGATTCCTGGTATAGCGTCGTCGCAGAGCGCGCGCCGCGACTCGTGTATGTACTCATCTCTGTCGGGCGGTCGAGCTCGAGTGTTGCCAATGGGAATGAGTCAGTTCGTTTACGCCGGTATCGTGCTGCGCATCGGAATGTGAACAGGCCAGGCCAGGACAGGACAGACTTGTGTGTGTGTGCTTTGCCTGCTTTTGCGCTCCGACCGTGTGCTCCCAATCAAGATTCCATCGTTTTCCATCGAGAGACTTTTGTTTTGTTGTTGTTGTTGTTATAGTTCCGAGCGGACCTCTCAGAGGGAGAAAGAGGAAACCTAGCAACAAGTATTGTTATTATTATTATTCACCCTTCGCGCAACAGCAACAGTTGAGCAGTATAGAAGGAAGAGAGAGTATACAGTCTGTGTGAAGGATTGCAGCCCGCTCCTCCCCCGGTGTGTTTTAAGCGAGTGATGCTCGGTTTTCCCAAGCGCGCAGCCCACCAGAAGAGCGAGCTTCCCAACATTGTTGTAATGTGATGTAAACTTTTCTCACCAAGATGGCCGACTCATATTACCAGGTGAGAAAAACCCGAAGACACTCTCGCTCGCTCCTCCATCCTTCTCCGATCCGCACCTAACCTTCATGCAACGTTGTTGTCCCCTACCAGCGAGCGTATGTGTCTGTGTCCCCCTTCTCATCCTTCACCTCTTCGGACACATGCATTTGTTGTTTTTCTGGTTGCTCCGTTTTATTTTTGTTTTTATTTATGCGTGCATGTTGTTGATCAACTTACCAACGAAACTCGAAAGCGCGCGATGATGGCCGCTGCCGCCAAGCTTACGCAATTCCAAAAACCAAAATCCCCAAAAAAAATTAACCTACAATATTATTATTTTGACAGACCCAAAATTGCATTCCCCCCCATTATGTTTCACCTTTACAACCAAACAGAAACAAGCTCTTATCAAATATCTCACTGATAATACTTATCTCACAATTTGATTAGTTAAAAAAAAATGTACATGTTATGCAGCAATGACATTGACTTAGTTTAAAGTTTTCTTAAACTATTTTGTAACTGTCGTGTTGACTTTAGTTAACTACAGTTTATGCAATTGTATAATCAAATGTAAATTATAAATAAGGAAAAAAACATATGCAGCAGCAGCAGGTCTAAGGCCCTGTGCTTCACCCTATTTTTAACTTTGTGTAGGATTGGAAGAGAGGTCTTAAGTGTTGTATACTTAGAGTTTATTTATAATTGGAATTGCAACACACTTGTAATCTAAATTCGTATGAAACCAAGTAATAATAATAATAATAACAACATGCATAAACAAAGAATTAAGTAATGTAATTGTAGATAAATCATCATTAACAATCCGTATTTGGGATGATCAATGTTACTACTTTGATCCATTAGTCAACCATCTATAAACTACTTTTAAGTCTGTTTGTTATTTCGATTACATTCGGGATTTGCAGCAAGGTTATAAGCGTCGAGTTTTATATTTATAATTGCTCTACATAAGGAATTGCCATAGAAATAACAATTTATGAAATAATTCCACAGTAACTTGTTTACTGCGTGTACAACTAATTCAATTGTAACATAATGTTAGTCAATTATGTAGTAGTACTACAAAATGTCTTAAGGTTTTCAAAACAGGATTCGTTATAACGCATAGTTAGATAATGGTATCACCAATCCAAACGTAACTTTACGAAACGATAAAACCCATGACTAATTACGTCAATAAGTATTTCTATTGTATCAATAAGATAATGAGAAATTGGACAATTTGTTGTACGTTCTTAAAATTTCATATATTGAGCAATTATTGGTTTGAATAAGGTTTTATGCATTATTATGTCATCTATATTTTGAACTATAAAGTAGTCTCATTTAATAGTCTCCTTCCATAAACGGACGTTACATTTCTGGACTTGCTATTAAAACTCATGAGACATGCTTGAAAACAGTGTAGATTCGCGATACAAAGTTTGGTTGCGAAGTTTAAAATAGTTTTCTTTTTTTAATGGGAAAATCGCGTACTCATAACAGTGACAAACATAAATAATTCCGCAATATTAAATTAGAGCGTGAGTAATGCGAACCAGAGCGGTTTATAGCAGTCGATACAAAGCTGGTAATTGAATCGTCAATCGAGTACATAAATTGTTTGGGGGGGAAATTGAGGATATAAAAATTCTTGTGCCTGTGCCAATGCAAATGAAATGCCGCCCGGATAGAAGAAGAAACACGCTTTGCGAGAAAACAAGTATTTTGCTTCCACTTAATCTCATTACAAAACATTTATTTATAATGTTGAAATTATTCACAATTACATTTCATTCAATAGTTGGAGTTAATGGATTTTTTTTTGCGTTAATTAAAAAGAAAATATGAGTTTTGCGTTAAAGCATTGGGATATGTGAAGGTTGCGATAAGCCACGTGAGTAATAGCACGTAATGATGATTGTTGCTAGGTATTTGTAAAAGAGCGAAAAGAAGCATCTGTTTTGATTCCATAATAACACGTCGACGATGACATGCAATGATGCGAACCTTGAATGAATCTGTCGTTGGAGACCAGGTGGGGAAATGTATATTTTTTTTTTATTATTTATTTCTCTTGGTGGAACACATTTTTGGCACAGTGCAGAAATTAAATATAGCGGATATCTATTTCGGCGCGATTGAAGAAGCCGGCGTTACGCGAATCTTCTCTTTCTTCGGTTTTCATCGGATAATCTCTTAAGCAGAGGCGACGGTATATGGAAATTTGGAGCGAGCTGCTGCTGAGGGCTATATACAGTGCGACCCGTAAATGGATTGCGACCTTTTGCGTTATTATTAATGCCCGCAATTACTCCAAACTCGGTGCACTCGTTTTATCTGCCAAGGCATTCCATAATCGAATTTTCGTTTTGCGTGGCATTCAACCCGAAAAACCTGTGGGAAATCAACTCATTTCACTTTGCTGCTGAAGGTTTCTTTTTCGTACAGTAATAATTGGAGGTAAAACAACCTTCGAATTTCGTTCTTAATTAAATCTTTCGGGTATCTAACAAAAAAAAAACATCTAATTTACAATTCTAATGTTTTGTTTCAGGTAAACTATCTCCCTTGTTTCCGCCGTTGACCCAAAGAGCGGAATGAGTTTCTGGATAAATTCACTCTTCGCCGAGATGCATTTTTCAAAAGGAATGCTTCCGTTTCCGGCCTTGCGCTACCACTATTAACTTACCTTAACAATGGCGCTCGATGATTAATATCCTGTTCGTATCGAAACAACGATGGTAAGAGAATAGTAGACTTGATCATCTCTAATTATGATTTAGTTTCAAACAAATCTGTATTCTTTCACCATTATGAAATACTCATTTAACCACCTACAAAAAAATCCAATAATCGATCCATTTAGTTAGCGATTGGTTTAACGAAGCAAGCAACAGTATACTTTACGGTTTGTTACGCAACGTAGACAACCCAAGTTGCTTCAGGGGGAACAAGTGTTTCGAGTTGATTAATCCCAAGCGAAATAATTTGTTTTGATTCGGGCGCTCGACCAATGGGAAGGAGGAAACCCATGGTCGGCGGAGGAGGATGAAGCTAGTTTTAAAATTTAAAACCTCCGTCGTCGTTGTTGTTTTTTTTATTTAAATTTTTTCGTTTTGATTGCCTGGAAGTAATAATTTCCTGCCTCACTTGTCGAGCGCGATTATGCACTCCGCGAAATGCGGTTACATCATCGCATCCAATGTCTTTTAATGATGTTTTTCGTTCTTCTCCACATTTCAATCTTATTAACTCGAGTGCACTTCTTTGAAAAGAAAAAACGTTGATGCAATGAACTCTCGGGATTTTATTGCTCTCCGAATTGTCTCATCGCCGAAGTGAAGTAAATGTAAATTGCGTAACTTGCGCTGACGTCAGGGATGTTTAATTAAATCGCCGTGTCGGAGAGCTTATTTACTTGGATACATAATGTAATCTGCACGTTGATAACCGCTATCTAATTTAATTAATTAATATTTCGCAATTGCATTATTATTGTTGTTATTGTTATATAACGTGAGATGCGTTTTTTAAAAATGTTGTTTACTCATTGTAATTTAGATCTAGTTTAAAAAAAATGGTTATTCCTAGGATTTAGATACAAATGTATGATTATTTGTATTTTATTTTGCTTTGATACCAAAACGATAGATTCTAATTTGAAATTTAAGCATTGATACTACTCTTGATACTACTCATAAAGTGGTTATAAATTAGATTTGATTGGGTTATTTCATACTCTTTGTCAATTGCATATAAAGAACATTTAACTGTTGAATATCTAAATGTGTGCATATTTATAAATAAGAGTGTTCAAAATAAGCACGAGTAAGACATGAACGAATTACATCAGACGGCTTATTTCGCATGTCAGAGGTTCGAAAGAACTTTGGATCGGTTTCTGAATGCTTCTATATATAAATGCGAATATTTTAGTCAACATTTTATTTTTTCGTGTGGAAGATTTAATATTTCGATTTTAATAGTAAAACAATGTACATTGTTTGTAATTTGTTGTTTCCATTGAAACACGATCGATGATTATTGATTAAAAGCGCTATTTATAGATAGAAGCGTTCAATTACTTTTTTTTTATCTAATGAATTAAATGTGTAAGTGTCTCGCCGTTGCGATTGATTTTGGTTTTCAGCTGTTAGTTTGGAGCCATTAACGTCTTTACAGCTAGAGAATAATGGAATTGGGCGGCAATTAACTAGGACCCAAAATAACATTCCTAGCCGTGTAATTCGTAACGGGAACTCGTTATATTTATGAATAGAAGGCTGAGAAGAAAGAAGAAGGGTTTTCTTCTGTATCGAAGTTGGCCTGAAGGCATACCAGAAATAATGGGTAAAGGACCTGACCTAGCCTACCTTCGGCGAGTCGTCCGTCCCCTCCTCACGAACACAAACAACAATAATAACAACAACAACAACAGCGACAAGAAGAATAGAAACGAGAGAAAATGTTTCTAAAGTAATCGATGCTTTTACGAATCCTCCAACCACCGCTCGAACGTTGAGGATTATTATTTTTTTTTCTGTTGTTATTGTTGTATTTGTGATGCGCGAAAATAGACGGTGCGAAAATAAAACGGATTTCTCTCTCTCTCTCTCCCTGCGTGTGCATTTATTTTCGAATATTCAAAACAAGTGTCGGACTGTAAACCATGTCCTTGCGTTTTCCACGCCACTTGCGTACGTATGGAATTCCACTGACCGCAGATTTTCGTTTCGACCAGTAAAATATTCCATTGATTCAGTAGCAATTACCAATTTCATTGTATCCATATAAATATTTTTATTTTTTTTTGTTCTATAACAAGAAAAAAATCACTTGTAATTATTATTTCTTTAATGAAAATATTACATTCAAAGGGTAAATTGTTACAACAAATATTATTGTTTTGATTAAATTTATTGTAATTGTACAGATGTTAATTTTTTTGTAAGCGTTAACTTTTGCAGTTTGTTTTACGAAATTGAATGAAAACATTTAGATTCGCTCCTGGTTTA